AGCAACGCTATCGTTTAAGAAGGAGAGCAAATAATAAATCATTAATCAGTAAACACAATGGACAATATCCAAGACGGTGGTCGTTAAAATAATTGAGCGTGTTAAGCTTTCATTACGCTACCGGTATATTTAGATTCTTAATTAAGCGGTGGCCTAACTAACGATGTAGATAACATAATTACGGATACGGTTTAGCAACTACATACCGACAGACATAGTGCATACCTCAATTTTCATATTTACACTTTCTGATAGTATCTATAAAACATCGTTTATATAATTATATTATAACTCTATTAGATAAATGAATAGATAACGAATGTTCGCGTTAAATTTTTATAGATGTATTCTAATCTGTTATGAAACAGATTAGAACTGCAAAAATATTATTGTCAACTTTTTATTTTATAGTGAAGTGCTTCTTATTATAATAAATATTAAGCTTTCTTAAAAGATTGATTCGCAGAGAGAGCAATTAAAGAAGGAAGCTTTGTTACATGACTTTTTCTTTTTAATATGAATTATTATTTTCTCTGTTTAATAACAATTTCACGTATTTCGTCTTATGATCGTACGAAAATTGTCTAATAATTACACCGCTGTCTAATTGTTACACAAATCCACTGCCTAATAATAGCAGCTGTAAATCGGTAATATCTGGGTCAACCATGTCGATAATACTTGTTGTAGGCCATTATAGGCATTGTATGAGCAGAGTTGGGCATTATTCGAATTTAATTCCCCGAATTTTATTCGAAATATTTCTCGAATTAAATCTTATTCCAAGAATTTATTCGAAATATTACTCGAATAACATTTGATTCGAAGAATTTATTCGAAATATTACTCGAATAACATTTGATTCGAAGAATTTATTCGAAATATTACTCGAATAACATTTGATTCGAAGAATTAATTCGAAATATTACTCGAATAACATTTGATTCGAAGAGTTTATTCGAAATATTACTCGAATAACATTTGATTCGAAGAATTCATTCGAAATATTACTCGAATAATTACTCTAATAATAGAATTTATTCGAAATATTTTTCGAATACAATTTTATATCGATTACATATAAATAATAATTCTTAATAGATGGAGTACCTTAAAAAAAGTATTGAGAAGAATAATTGACACATGAAATTATAAATGATCCTAAGCATGCTTCCTAAGTTTGATTTTCGTCAAAAAGGTAGGCAATTCAAATGTTAATACTTCGTGCCTGATTAATAGATTGCGACTCTTCATGCAAAATAAAAATTGTCCGCATTGACAGCAAGATGCAGGAACTTAACGAACATTTATTTCCTTTCATAAGTTTCACGCGTTGAACGCAACGCAATGGCATCTTTAAACTGTTTAAACGTTTCTACTGATTCGAATGTCATCTATTCATTTTTGTCATAAATGCATAAAATCCGCATTCTACCGATTGCTTTTAGCGGAAAAAACGCACGGCAGTGTAATTTACAACGAAACATCACCAATTCGATATCCCCGCGATCTGTGGATCATTGGGCGCGTAAAAAGTTGCGGTTGCAACTGTGTTACCTGGTTTAATAACTCGTCGGCTGATCGGATCGGTTACAGACTCTTGCGCCACTGTTCAAAATAGCTCGTGACCACTGACCTCGATCTCGGAAATTACGTTCGCATCATCGTCTTTCCTTAACGATCCGATAATGAATATCGGACGATGACCTGGTAAAAGCAGATCGGTGATGCAACTATCGCAGAGTTTCTTTCGCCGATTTTCCGTGCCGGATTTATCTTTCGCTTTTGGATTTATCTCTCATTTTCTTATCCTCGATTTTTCGATTATAAGAACCAGAGACTCCGTTGCAACAGAAACGAGAAATGCTCGTGAATTAACAGTTATTTATTCGTCTAAATTGTTTTTTGTCACAAATAACGATTATGAATAGACTACGGATTTTATGCAGTTATGACAAAAATGAGTAGATCAATCACAAAACGGTAGAAACAATTTAGAGAATTTCGAAAATATTATCGCATTATTTGCAATCGATTAAAAGTATTAAAAAAAGAAATGAACGTGGGAGAAAAATCAATTTCATCGCCGATAACGATTATCGATGATGGAAACTTTATTTTGCTGGTTATATTGTTGAATTTTATCGGTAAATTTTTTATTTGCAACCAAAACAGTTAAAAATCGAAACTTTTAAAATCATGTGGTTATTTTTGAAAGAATTTCGCCACAGCTTGTGGTTAAATAAATTAGGACTTAAATAATAAACAAATTTCGGCTTTCTCTTTCTCTCTATCTCTCTTTCTTAGTTATATTATTATCAATTATATTATTATCTTATATTAATTAATATAATATTTAATATTATATATATTTGTATATACAATATTAAATTATATATAATATATATTTTTTCATACAATGTGCTTAATCGACGCGTTTTCTTTTTCAGGGCGATCGTGGGTGCACCGACGGCCGAAACCGAGCAAGATGGCGTCAAAAGAGGCGGGAAGGTTTACAAATGCGACATCGCTACCGATGACACGTGTTACGCGATCCGCTTCGACTCCAAGGGTGAGGATCCTAGAAATAGTTTGAGAATCGCCTGAACCCTTTGAGACCCGAGGTTTTATCTCTCTTTATAATTTTATAATTTTAAATATTTATTTAAAATTTGTTGTCGTTTGAGTAATACAGAAAACCTCTCTCACATTGAGTTGGGCAAAACTAATGATTACTGATTATAATTAATGTGAAATCATATTCATGATTAGTGAATAACTTAGATAATCGGAGGATATATGATCATGTAATTCATTCAAGTAATCGCTAATTATGAAATTACTAATTTTTTAAATTGTGATTACCGAATATAATTATGATTTATTCAAGCAACGATTAACTGATTAATGATTCTGATTAGTATGCTCATAAATGAATTCGTATAAAAGAATTAAAACGAATGAAGAATGTAAATTCAATACATAAAAAAATTTTTCTATTAAAAGAATAAATGCACTGCTGTCTATTTTCAGTTTCTTGCAATTGATACAGCAAATTTTTATTTTGCATAAAGATTCGCATAAAGACTGCGTTGAAATTTCAAACAACGAAAGTATTAAAAGAATCTAAGGACATTTACATATTATTTTCAAATCACTGGGATTATTAAATAAAGTAGGAAATTATTATTCGACACATCATTGTTACAATCGATGAAGATAACTTTTATTTTGCATTAAATTTAATAAAAATAATCGACTATTATCCAACTCTATTCTAGCAAAATCAGCCAGAGAAAAATATCCTCTCAAAAAAGTTTTCGATTTGCAAATTAAATACCGCCAATTTCTGGAAAATCTTATCAAATCGATGGGCCTCGTTAATTCAATGAGAGATATTCGTACGATATTCCGTAAACATAAAGAGATTAGCTACCCTAGAGTCGCCCCGATCTCAATCCGATATCTCTGTTTCCCGGTTCTTTCTTCCACTTGTGCACCGTCGCACTTGCCACGGGCTTTGAAAGGTACCTCAACATAGTGTTTGCTAACGAGGGCTCGTATCTCGTGTTCCTCGGGCTGCTCGCAGTCGCTGACCTACATTCTGGTTTTCCACCCGTCGTCGTCGGAGCCCCTGAAGAGCTTCGTAATCTCAGGAACTGCGGAGTAACCGACTACTGACTGGTTATAGAACGTTCTATTCTCGGCGCCTCTCCACCCACCTTGCCGATGATGTCCCTTCCATGCCCCAAGGCTCTGCATCTCCGCCGAACGGATATCGATTTCAAATACTTTCCCTTCCGCGATTATTAACCTTTTAACGCGTCGATTGCTCCACATCTGCTCGATCTGGGTGACACGATTTTCCGTTCGCGCCTAAATTATCTACACTTTTAGCAATATATTTAATAATATTAATAGTAACAATAATAATAATAATAATTTTATTCGTATATGTGTACAAATCTTTGAGTACAAACCTTTGTTTCAAAAAAAAGATGCTGACCAAAAAATTAAAAAAAAAATTGTCATTTTAATTCAATTACATGGTAATACGTGATTAACGTATTTCAATTATTTACATTAGTATTTTGTAGTAGTATTTTTTACAAATTGATGTAAAGGTTTCTTCAAGTAAAATCTTTTATTAAATCTTTTATTACTTCGAGGATAATTTTTGTTATCAGACGTGAAACAATCGACGAAAAAAATCCGCTATTTGAAATTGCTGTCATTTTAAATGAATCGATATCATTTTTATTGCGAAATAACAGCATTGAATAATAATGGTTCGCAATAAATTATTACATTACACTTCATTACAAATAAAATTCGACCACAATACTAAAATAACTCACCACTGCATGTATACTCTGAAAAACTATTTTATTTGATAAAGTATTTTGTAACAATCGTAACATTGAACTTATACTTGTTAAAATAACCTTGACATAATCTTTTAATAGAATACAATATCAGGAAAACAAGTAAAAATGCCCAATTTCAACGAAGAATGTTCGAAAAACAATAAACATACAGCAAAAATTTGGTCGTATATAGAAGAAATCGAATTGCTTAGCGAAATTATAATTTATACTAACTTAATACAGACAATCTAATGTTGAAACTATTGTATATAATTACATCCACATGTAATCCCACAATTATAGTCTCACAAGTGGTTGCCAATTGCTGTTGATCGAATTTGAGATTAAATAAATAAATTTAAAAGAAGACTTTATTTAATGAAAGGAGTTTGTTATGGGAATATAGTGCGATAAAAGGCTAGCACGTGAAACTAAAAATTGTATACAGCAATAAATCAACCAATGATATTTAATGCTTAATATTTTTTGGCTCCTTCTCTGCATTTAATAACAGTCAACCCCTTTTTTGTACGCAAATGTCTAGCAGTATTGCACGATATTAATATACAGTAAACTGCGGATTTTTATACGTAATGAAAATTCTGCATTATTACAAAAGGCATTATATTACGTTATTGTGCATCATTACGCACAATCAAGCTATATAGCCGTTGAAACGCGTAAAAATGATAAAAGAAAATTGGTCCGGTCCGGAACGAAGATAACGCGATTTAGCGATTATTCTTTCGTTTGGGAACAACAAAACATTTTGATCTCGGCTGCTTTGATCTTCTTAAAATATTGAATCGAAAGAGGGGCACGCTCTCGAAAAGGAACCGTAATGACTTAATTTCGAGGGAACGGGGCGATAAAGCGAGCCGAGCCGACGAAGTCACGAGCGCGCATGAATATCCGCGCAGACAGCCATTCAAATTAATAATCACGCGCGCGATACGATCTTCCGCTCGGTAAGCGCGTCGAGGCCTCCGCTAGAGCCGATGCAAATTAGCGGAATCGTGCCGGCACGAATTAGACGTGCTTACACACCTCGTAACGGCTGTATCTTTGAACGATCGGGCACGATTCTGGACCCGTAATTTGCCCGCGAGAAAGTAATCGACCGCTCGAAAGCCAATCGGCAGGAAATCGCCGGGCCCGATTTCACGTTATCTCGGCCGCGGCCGTGCCGGGATCGATCGGAACTGTCAGATCGAGATAAAGTGTTGATTAAGATGCCAACGAGATTCGTTATTCTTTATCCCTTCTTTTTTCCGTGCTTGATTATGTTGAGAGAAATTGGGATCAATTACTGTATTGCGTACGAACTGCGGATCTTTATGCACTTTTCATGTGCGGTAGGACGTACAAATTAAGCTCTTGCACACGAAGACATTTTAACATTAAATTGAAACTGGGTTTTTTTCTGATTTACGGGGTGCAGTAGAGACTCTCTTATTTATTTTTGTAATATCCTGATACTGAAACATTCTATTATCTAAAAATTTCGTTCGAGTTCTATATGCTAGGCGATAATGCATCTCTAAATAGTACAATGATTGGATAATAGAACGTTTAGATAACAGAATATTGTGTAAAGATAAATGTTCGGGTAAGAGACTGTATTTCCATTTTATAACTGGTGACTGATACACGTCGATTTTATTTATTTATCTATTTGGCATCGACGGGTCAATTGCCCTTTTAATTTCTCTACAACAATTGGATATAATAATAGTAATAAGAAAAAATAATAATAAATGGAATTTAAAAATAATCAAAAATAATGCTCAATGGAATAATAAGTAATAGTAATGATAAAATATTAACAATAACAGTAACAGTAATAATATTAAAAGAATAATAATAGTTGTAATAATAGTAACAATAAAATGAAAACAATACATAGTAGTTATATTCACTCGTACAAAGGTATTAAGATCCGAACCAAGAGGCCTTTCATGTAATATGCCTTCCAAATAATATTATATTACAATATAAATCACAAACTTAAACATCATAAAGCTTCTGATAGCATCATAAAAATGGCCTTTCAACTGATTAAAATCATCAATGAAGAAAAAATTAATCTCGTTAGAACAAGTGTTAGCCAAAGTAAGAATTCTACTCAAGAGATCCATATCAAAAATACATTATACTGCACACAGTTACACTAATTATTGCATAAACGCAAGTGGACGGAGCATCAGTTATCTTTTTTGCCATGACGACGTGACTGATACACGTCGATTTTATTTATTTATCTATTTGGTATCGACGGGTCAATTGCCCTTTTAATTTCTCTACAACAATTGGATATAATAATAGTAATAATAAAAAATAATAATAAATGGAATTTAAAAATAATCAAAAATAATGCTCAATGGAATAATAAGTAATAGTAATGATAGATAAAATATTAATAATAATAGTAACAGTAATAATATTAAAAGAATAATAATAGTTGTAATAATGGTAACAATAAAATGAAAACAATACATAGTTATATTCACTCGTAAAAAGGTATTAAGATCCGAACCTAATAATATTATATTACAATAAACATCATAAAGCTCACATTTAAACATCATAAAGCTTCTGATAGCATCATAAAGATGGCTTTTCAACTGATTAAAATCATCAATGAAGAAAAAATTAATCTGGTTAGAACAAGTGTTAGCCAAAGTAAGAATTTTACTCAAGAGATCCATATCAAAAATACATTATACTGCACACAGTTACACTAATTATTGCATAAACGCAAGTGGACGGAGCATCAGCTATCTTTTTTGCCATGACGACGTGACGTGTGCCAAACGCGTTCATGCAAAAGTTATGAAGAAATAGTGCCACTCTGTTTCGAAAAAATCCCAACGCTTCGTAAAACGTCAGGTAAATCAATCTTCAGTTCACCGGGACACTAATGTCTTCTGTGTTTCAATTTCCATATAGAACTTGTTAGCAGATTAGCGCTTATATCCGTTACGAGCTGCTGAATAATCTCGGAGAGAATTTCTCGCGAGTCATGGCTAGTTGGTTGCGTACAGTGTGCAAATTCGAATGATTTCCCCGCGAAAGTCTCATCAATTACCAGCAAAAGCTCGGCTAGTTTAATTACCCGTCCGAGATCACAAAGCGTCTAGCACCGACTTGTCAGTCATGCCCGAAGAATACTATGGTCCTTGCTGCGTTAATCCGAAGGGTGCTC